GGTTATAGTGACGTATATTTCCAACCAAGGGCAGAGGCCCTGGTAACGAAGAAAAGAAAGATGGAGGAATCGAAAACGGAAAAGTTGGGTGAAAAAAGACGAAAAACCAACGAAAATAGCCCTAAATCGAAAGATGAAACTGGCGACAAAGAAAACTTGGATCCTGCAACGCTTCTAAATAAACAGGAAACTAATACGTTAAAGGGTAAGGAAAACATGGTCAATAACTGGTTCAATATGACTGAAGAAGAGAGGTATCAAAGGGACACGTCTTCACTTGAAACACCACCTGGAAGTGAAGACAAGATAGAAGGTTCCAGAAAGTTCGCGGAATCGGAATTAGGTGGAACGGTATCACGTGATACGGCGTTATAGTGGAACGACCCTAGCGTCGCCCCGAAAAAATGGTAGCCGGACAGATTTGCCGGGTTACACAAAATTTCGGATGCAGTTCATTGGTTTTTTAAATAACTTCGAAAGTTCAAAAAAATGAATAGCGATAGTGCAAATTTTTTATGAATTATTTATTCTTTGTTTAATGTATAAAACCATAATGATTACAGAATTATCACTCTTAACAGATTAAATGCTGCTCAAATACATGCTTTTTATTATAATTAACGATTTATATGTCATCTTTATAACACAATCCAAGATCGTTCTTAGAAATTTGCCATTAAAACATCATCTTATATACTACCACTGCTTATTTCTACAATACTTATGCTTTATAATTTTTTTTTTTTTTTTTTATATCCAATACATTGTATTTTTATTAAAATCTTTCCAAGTCTTTGGTATTGTTATACGATTATTTAATGCCGCAATATCATTATTTATTTTTTCTAATGATTTAAAGTTGGAACGAACATTTTTTAACCATAAATGTCTTTTGGGTTTGTTGCGTGATTCGTCTAAAAGCATTTTAGTCTACAGAACAATTGAAAATTAATAAATAATGTAAATACCATATTATAGAATTTTTTTATAAATACCTTATCTAACATTTTATGCAAATAGTCCAAGTCCGTTTTAAAATTGTTTTCTTCATTATCACTACTGTCCTCATGTCTAATATCCAATTCCAATTCTTCTTGAGTTGATAAAATATTTGAAGGTTGATAATTTACAGAATTTTTCAAATAGAACAAATTTACTAAATCACCATTATAAGAGGAAATTAATGGATAATATCCATTACGTTGTACCTATATATAAAAAAAAAAATTAATACATATTAAGCAAATATTACATATGCACATATAAATAGTATTTTAAAAATAATTTCTTATCTTTTTAAAAAATATTGGATCAGCCTTTTCTACTAAATTAATTAAATGTTTACATAAAAAGAAATGGCTTCAAATATATGCAGGGCATGCACATATTCATTTAGCCAGATCTGTAAAATACTTGTTATTTTTCTGGATTGTTTTTTTTTCAAGCTGCCTCCATTCCTTTTTAAATTCCTTATGTCATGGTACCAAGTAATGACCTTGTTCAAGTAGTTGAATTCGATATAAATGTCGATTTATTACTTTCTTTACAAGAATATAGCATAAATGATCAACACGGGGTTTATAAAACTTGTACAAATAATCATGTTTTATTTGTCACCAATGTGACTCAACCGTCATTGTAGTTTTAATATGGCTAATATTCTCATCAGCTGCTCGTGCCCACAAATTCCATTTATCTTTAGAGTACTACTCTTTCCAAAGATAGACCCATAGTTGAAGCAAATCATTGTTTTTGCAAAATTGCATCATTTCACTGACGCATTCTTTCCAAATTTCATTTGAATTTGTAGTAATGATTTTCAACAAGCTCGACTACAATTTTTCGTAATTTCAAGGAACAAAATATAGAATTTGAATTATTTGTAACTCCCCAATTAGGATCTATCATAGAACATGCTTCATGCGCAAGTTTTGGATTATATGAATAGTATGTATTTTTTTTATTAGATGCTAATCGATTTTTAATCGCCCAATGTACATGCCAAATATATAATTGTAAATGCGCCTCGGGCTATATGGCTTGTGCTGCATTGATTTCGGAAAATCCTTGTCTGTAAGGATAAAAGAAAAATTTTTTAAATGACGTTCTTTCAAAGCTTTTATCCATTGAAAAAGAATTTCAGTTATATTTTGATTTCTTCTAGCTGTAATAAGAAGGTAACTAAGAGGAAACCCAGTACCATCAATTATACCAATAACAGAATATAGTTTACAGACCAAACTATTTGTACCATATGTCACATCAATTGCAATTGCATCAAATTTATTATAAATCAATCTATTAAATAATAATGTTAAGAACCCAAGTGCTGGTGTAGAAGAATTAAGATTATCTACAATAATTTCTTGGTTGAGTTCTTCTAACAAACACTTAGCTAACAATAAAGGATCAGAATCTTGACAATATTTTTTGTGAGATTCGATCGACCACCAGTAATAAGTTTGTTGTACCATTAAATTTTCATATCCTTTAATAAAATTTTCTCGAATTTGACACCAGATTTCAGGTACAGAAAATTCAATGTTATCCTTAATAAAAGTTTTAACTTCAAGTGTCATTGCAACATGTCTTGGTCGTGGATGTAATGCTTTGTGAGAATAAATGATTTTAATTAAATCCAAAGTTGAAAAAATCTCTATATTTACTGTTTCTTCACAATTGTATCGTTCTAAATAAGTAGGTATATCCCTTTGCTTATCTAATTCAGGATGTTTCGCTTGTTATTTTCCAAGTTCAATTTGGCAATTGCAGTAATAGATTACAAGGAAAGACTTTTTTTTTGGTTTTTAGTACGATACACCCATGAATAACCATCTTCTTTAGAAATATAAGCAATTATACAGCGGCCAATTTCAAAGTCAATATTTTCTTTTTGCAATTCCTCATCCGAAATTGCATCAAGAAGAGATGACAACTCAACATTAAATTCCAACTCTAATTCCTTATTTTCTTTTTCATAAAATTCGTCAGTGTTATTTAAGGAAGTCAACGAATTATATACCATTTCGGTAATGTCCAAGTGACTGATAATCATATCAGGTGTTTCATTTTTTGAGCGAGAAAGTCTGATATTGGTTCGACACTGTAAACACTTTTTTAATGCAATTCCTTTTTCATTTAAAAATGTATCATAGTTTTGGATAGTATGACACCCTATACAATTCCTGGTTTGTTGATTTGACATGAAGCTTGTATCGTTTATATGTTTAAAAAAAAAACGTTTATAAGAAAACACTTGTTAAAAAAAAAAAAAGTTTATAAAAAAAAAAAAAAAAAATAATAAACGTTTATATAAAAAAAAAGGATTGAAACCGGGTATAAAAAGTTTTAACAATTTACACTGCAAAGCGCAACGCAATTTTTGTACTAGAAAAACTTTAGTTGACAGAAAAAGCGAACAATA